CCCACGAAAAACACATCGACACATATCACCTATTTGTCGACTATAAAGCCGCATTCGACAGCCCTATCCGTTCAGAGGTGTTTAAAGCCATGTCTGCGTTCGGCATTCCTGCAAAATTAATACGGCTATGCAGGATAACTTTAAGTGGCACAAGGTCAGCCGTTAAAGTAGGAAAGGACCTATCGGAGCCCTTCACTACCGAACGAGGATTCAGACAAGGTGACAGTTTGTCGTGTGATCTTTTTAACATCCTACTGGAAAAGGTCATACGAAACGCAAAGGTGAACAGAAATGGCACTCTCTACACCAAACAACACCAGTTACTCGCCTACGCCGATGACATCGATATAATGGGTCGAACATTGCGAGCGGTAACAGCCACCTTTGAACAAATTGAAAAGGAGTCTGCCAAAGTGGGTCTGGCAGTAAACGGCGAGAAGACCAAGCTGATGGTATCAACGCGCAAGACGTCCAGTAGACTCGGACCAACTGTGGAACTTGAGAACTACAGCTTCGAGGTAGTTAAAGACTTTATATACCTTGGTACCGCCATAAATAAAACGAATGATATCAGTTTTGAAATTCGGAGAAGGATTGTGATGGCCAACAGATGCTACTATGGTCTAAGTAAGCAGTTTAGAAACAAGGCCACCTCTCGCCAGACCAAACTCACACTTTACAAGACGCTGATACTACCCGTGCTATTATATGGATCAGAAGCATGGGTACTTGCGCAAGCAGATGAGGCAGCGCTTGGGGTGTTTGAGAGAAAAATTCTCCGAAAGATCTACGGGCCGATCTGCGTCGACGGTGAATATCGGCGTCGAATGAACCACGAGCTCTACAATTTATACGCAGACATCGACATAGTCAGTCGTATTGAGCTGCAGCGACTACGGTGGCTAGGCCATGTTGTGCGGATGAATGAAGAAGCCCCAGCTCAAAAGGCATACAAAAATGAGCCTACGGATGGTTCCCGTAGAAGGGGAAGGCAACGAATTAGATGGAAAGACCAAGTAGAAAACAACATCTTGGAACGTGGTCTTCCAAATTGGTGGACTTGCGCACAAGACCGGCGCGCTTGGAAATCTTTTTTAAGCTCGGCTTATGGAACAACCGTTCTGTAACAAGCCAGCTAAGTAAGTAAGTAGATAAACCCCAAATAAATTGGCCAAAAAATTGTATTCCAAGTTCAGTGTATTAAAGGTGTTTCAAGCGGGAAAGTTAAAAATAAATATAAAAAGTGTAAGTAAATGAAATAAAAAATAACTTCGAATTTAAAAATATTTTTTAAGGACAATATAATCGGGGATTTTTAAAAATTGTTTTTTCAAGCACAATATAAGGCGTGAATTTTTAAAAATTATTTTTTCCAACACTATATAAGGCGAGGATTTTTAAAAATTGTTTTTTCCAAGACTATATAAGGCGTGGATCTTTAAAAATTATTTTTCCAAAACTTTATAAGGCGTGGAGTTTTAAAAATTATTTTTTCCAAAACTTTATAATGCGTGGTTTTTAAAAATTATTTTTTTCAAAACTTTATAATGCGTAAATTTTTAAAAATTATTTTTTCCAAAGCTTTATAAGGCGTGGATTTTTCAAAATTATTTTTTCCAAAGCTTTATAAGGCGTGGATTTTTAAAAATTATTTTTTCCAAAGCTTTATAAGGCGTGGATTTTTAAGAATTATTTTTTCCAAAACTATACAAGGCGTGGATTTTTAAAAATTATTTTTTCCAAAACTATATAAGGCGTGGATTTTTAAAAATTATTTTTTCCAAAACTATATAAGGCGTGGATTTTTAAAAATTATTTTTTCCAAGACTATATAAGGCGAGGATTTTTAAAAATTGTTTTTTCCAAGACTATATAAGGCGTGGATTTTTAAAAATTATTTTTCCAAAACTTTATAAGGCGTGGAGTTTTAAAAATTATTTTTTCCAAAACTTTATAATGCGTGGATTTTTAAAAAATATTTTTTTCAAAACTTTATAAGGCGTAAATTTTTAAAAATTATTTTTTCCAAAGCTTTATAAGGCGTGGATTTTTCAAAATTATTTTTTCCAAAGCTTTATAAGGATTTTTAAAAATTATTTTTTCCAAAGCTTTATAAGGCGTGGATTTTTAAAAATTATTTTTTCCAAAGCTTTATAAGGATTTTTAAAAATTATTTTTTCCAAAGCTTTATAACGCGTGGATTTTTAAAAATTATTTTTTCCAAAACTATATAAGGCGTGGATTTTTAAAAATTATTTTTTCCAAAACTATATAAGGCGTGGATTTTTAAAAATTATTTTTTCCAAAACTATATAAGGCGTGGATTTTTAAAAATTATTTTTTCCAAAACTATATAAGGCGTGGATTTTTAAAAATTATTTTTTCCAAAACTATATAAGGCGTGGATTTTTAAAAATTATTTTTTCCAAAACTATATAAGGCGTGGATTTTTAAAAATTATTTTTTCCAAAACTATATAAGGCGTGGATTTTTAAAAATTATTTTTTCCAAAACTATATAAGGCGTGGATTTTTAAAAATTATTTTTTCCAAAACTATATAAGGCGTGGATTTTTAAAAATTATTTTTTCCAAAACTATATAAGGCGTGGATTTTTAAAAATTATTTTTTCCAAAACTATATAAGGCGTGGATTTTTAAAAATTATTTTTTCCAAAACTATATAAGGCGTGGATTTTTAAAAATTATTTTTTCCAAAACTATATAAGGCGTGGATTTTTAAAAATTATTTTTTCCAAAACTATATAAGGCGTGGATTTTTAAAAATTATTTTTTCCAAAACTATATAAGGCGTGGATTTTTAAAAATTATTTTTTCCAAAACTATATAAGGCGTGGATTTTTAAAAATTATTTTTTCCAAAACTATATAAGGCGTGGATTTTTAAAAATTATTTTTTCCAAAACTATATAAGGCGTGGATTTTTAAAAATTATTTTTTCCAAAACTATATAAGGCGTGGATTTTTAAAAATTATTTTTTCCAAAACTATATAAGGCGTGGATTTTTAAAAATTATTTTTTCCAAAACTATATAAGGCGTGGATTTTTAAAAATTATTTTTTCCAAAACTATATAAGGCGTGGATTTTTAAAAATTATTTTTTCCAAAACTATATAAGGCGTGGATTTTTAAAAATTATTTTTTCCAAAACTATATAAGGCGTGGATTTTTAAAAATTATTTTTTCCAAAACTATATAAGGCGTGGATTTTTAAAAATTATTTTTTCCAAAACTATATAAGGCGTGGATTTTTAAAAATTATTTTTTCCAAAACTATATAAGGCGTGGATTTTTAAAAATTATTTTTTCCAAAACTATATAAGGCGTGGATTTTTAAAAATTATTTTTTCCAAAACTATATAAGGCGTGGATTTTTAAAAATTATTTTTTCCAAAACTATATAAGGCGTGGATTTTTAAAAATTATTTTTTCCAAAACTATATAAGGCGTGGATTTTTAAAAATTATTTTTTCCAAAACTATATAACCAGATACTCGCCTACGCCGATGACATCGACATAATGGGTCGAACATTGAGAGCGGTAACAGCCACCTTTGAACAAATTGAGAAAGAGTCTGCCCATGATCCAATTAACAGGTCGTGTAAGAAGCGAATATTATCGGCCATTTTGGTAGAAAATCCCTCAATCTGTCAATTTTTTTGTTTACGTTTTCACACGATTAAGTCAAATTTTAACAGTTTGGGTGAAATCTTTCGCCTCTAACACGACCTGTTAATTGGACCATGAGTCTGCCAAAGTGGATCTGGTAATAAACTTGAGAACTACAGCTTTGAGGTAGTCAAAGATTTTTTATACCTTGGTAACGCCATAAATAAAACTAATGACATCAGTTTTGAAATTCGGAGAAGGATAGTGTTGGCCAACAGATGCTACTATGGTCTGAGTTAGCAACTCATAAGCAAGGCCACCTCACGCCAGACCAAACTCATACTCTACAAGACGCTGATACTACCCGTGCTATTATATCGATCTGAAGCATGGGTACTTACGCAAGCAGATGAGGCAGCTCTTGGAGTGTTTGAAAAAAAATTATACGAAAGATCTATGGGCCCATCTGTGTTGACGGTGAATATCGCCGTTGAATGAACCATGAGCTGTACCAGCTATTCTTGGACATCGGCATTGTTAGACGTATTGAGCTCCAGCGACTACGTTGACTAGCTCATGTTGTGAGAATGCCAGCTAAGTAAGTAATATAAGTCGAGGATTTTTAAAAATAACTTTTCCAAGACTATATAAGGCGTGGATTTTTCGAAGACTATATAAGGCGTGTATTTTTACAAATTATTCGTTCCAAGACTACATAAGGCGTGGATTTTTACAAATTATTCGTTCCAAAACTATATAATAGTGCGTTTACATTATACCGGCTTTAGTTAGCCCAGTAGGTTTCAAGCGTCAATTCCATTGTCATTGCCAAATAAGTCCTTATCAAGTAGGTTAAACCTGCAAAAAGTTCTAATGTAAATGCTGTTTAAGGCGTGGATTTTTAAAAATAATTTTGTCCATAATTTTACGTATTAACACGTTTAAATGTCATTACGTTTTGTAACATCTGCCATTTGTATTCCATTAAAATCTCTACCGCATATAACACATATTTGTAATATAACAAATCATTTATATTATCAATCCCAAAAAAATCAGTCAAATAAATAACATTTTCCCATAAAAACTACCTATTATATTCCATTACGTTCCGTTACGGCTACCATACGTTTTTGCAAAACACCAATATATTTCATGTATTCGATAATTTGGTTTATCGATAATTGCCCAAACGATTAGTCGTCTACCGACAAAAATGCTATCGAAATGGACATTTGCAACAACAAGAAGAAGCACGCAGTGACGAAGTTTTCAGTGTTTTCTTCTAGTGTTAGTATTTATTGGGAGTTGATGAAATAAGGAGAAAATTGTCCGAAATTAGAAAATTCAAGCAGCCAATTTACGCAAAACCGTTGCCTTAAATCACACTTCAAATATGTCGGCACCTTTGGAAAATCTTGAAACCCAATTGGAAATGTTTATTGAAAATGTGCGACAAATACGCATTATTGTGTCCGATTTTCAGCCCCAAGGCCAAAATGTTCTCAATCAAAAGATGTAAGTAGTAGTTGCTTGGTCAATCAATATAACAAATGGATATCCTTTAACGGTCATTTCTGTGTTCCCCCTTTTGTTTGTTTGTTTTGAAATTACAGTCAAGGCCTGGTCAGTGGTCTGCAGGAGATAAACAAATTGAAGAATCAGGTGCAAGATATCTATGTACCCTTTGAGGTCTTTGATTACATTGATCAGGATAAGAATCCACAATTGTACACCAAGGATTGTGTTGAAAAGGCATTGGCCAAAAACGAAGAGGTCAAAGGTAAAATTGATGCCTATCGCAAATTCAAGTCCAATATGCTGGCGGAACTATTCAAGACATTTCCCAATGAGATGAACATGTATCGTGCATATCGTCCGGATTCGGTGTAATTGTATGAAGTTAGATGTAGTAATGTTGTGTGTGAGTGTTTGTTTATTTGTGGCAAACATCATCATGGACTGAACCTGAATTCTTCTATATACATATATTACATACAAACAACAAAAAATTAATAACAGCAACTGCAAAACAACAAAACAAAAATTCAATTTATATTAAGTTAAGGGAAAATAAAACAAAAAATTAATCATTGTAATAAATAATTAACATAAAAAGACATGTATTATTTATTTCCTCATAAAAGTATATAATAGTACTATAATGTAAAATTAGTCGGACATGTTCAAAATAGGCCAGTGGCTCCCTTGTATCTATTAATCGGTAGGTTAAGTATAGCACGCACCTAATTCCTGGCACCAAGATATAAGTGTTATAATATTAATTATCGATTTATAATATTGTAGTGACTAGTGTCTAAGATATCGGTATTCCAAAGTAGTTCCATAAATTCATAAAACGGCACCGGCTAATATTGATAATTTTGTAGGGGTTTCGTCAGGTAAATTTTTAATTATTATTTTTGTATTTTAATTATACTCTAAGATTTAAGGTTTCAGCGACAATAAAGTTCTTATAACAAATCTTCTAAACTTGGATCAACTTTTGGTACCTCCCCCATAAAATTATTAAAAAGGGACCAATTGAGGGGACGCTCCAAATTTATTCAAACCTTACACATTGTGATATTTTTTTTTCAATCCCGCATATTGTTCGGAGATAGGTCCTCTAGTATAAGAGTCTCAAATGGAGCTCAAAGAGATCATAATAAAACGGCACCGGCTAATATTGATAATTCTGTGGGGGTTTCGTCAGGTCAATTTTTAATTATTATTTTGGTATTTTTTATTTTTAATTATTAAGGGTTTAACGAAAGATAATAAAGGTCTAAAGCCAAATCCGATTCTAACTTATGATGTCTAACTTATCATATCCTTCAAATTTTCTTCTAAACTTGGATCACCCATAAATTTATTAAAAAGGGACCAAGTGAGAGGACGCTCCAACTTTTTTCAAACTTTTCACATTGTGGCATTTTTTCAAACCCACATATACATTGAAGATAGACTGTATAGGTTCTAGTATAAGAGTCCCAAATAGAGCTCAAAGAGTATTCAATTTAATCCAATGGGCAGATTATGACAGTCGATTTCGAGTTGTTTCGATCGATGTTATTCAATTTGATATGACTGCATTAGAACACATTTTGTCGAAATGGCCGATAAAAACTATCGTATCGAAGTTTATTTTCGAATAAAAACTCACTCGATATCGACTGTCATGATTTGGCACATTTTTACCGCAAAAGTGTAACTAAGCCGAACCTAAATCCCCAGTTGAGATCTATTGGCCCTTCCCACACAAAGGATCATAATTTTAAGAACTTGTCGACCACTTTGGAGAAAAAAATCTTGATCTAAACTTAGAACATTGTAATATCACAAAACCAAGATAAAGTCTGTCGGCTCACGAGCACTATTTTTCTTAGACCTACTAACAACTGTACATATACCGTAAAATATACAGGATAACCGTATACTACATATGTACTGTCAAAATTTGATGGTTCATCTTTCGTCAACACCGGTCTAGACCCCATTTTATTTATCTTCATAATCCGGATTCGCTCGACTTTTGCCATACCGGGTTCTTGCTGGGTATAAATATGCAATAGTGGTCCATGTTTTGACGTAGCCCGCATATTTGGGTCCCTACCCCATTTTTGGCATGCTGAAGGCCCTAGCCGCATTTTCAACAACAGTTTTTGTAATCCACAGAGTTTAGGAAACTTCCTGTATGACAGTTTATAATGGCATTGTTCTTATATCAACGTCCTGACCTATTTTAGGTATTTAGGTATTACTCAAGTTTTTGGTCCATGTTTTGAAATAGCCCTCATATGAAAGTCCTGTCCCATTTTCAGTATGATAAAGATCTCAACCAAATTTGTTTAACATAAGTCTTGGAAATTTGAAATCAGAGGATAGAAAACCTTCCGGAAGACAATTTACAATACCAATGTAAAATTTGAAATCAAAGGATAGAAACCCGTCTGGAATGAAAATTTAAAAACCCCATATAAAAGTGGCGATTTTATCTAATTTGAATACATAATGCATTTTTAGTTGATTACTTTAATCCTTGCTTCAAAAATATTTTTCTCGTGATGGTGTAGCCCTACATTCCAAAATAAAAAAGTATTGGATATGCGTTCCAAATAAGGACATTTTTAAAAATCAAAATCATAATGCTAAAACCTTAACAATTTATAACACACGCACCTAACCCTAAATTCCTAGATTTTCTACAGAGATAAGATTTCCAAAACAATACAACAACAGAAACACACAACAAATGTATTATAGCTCGAATTTTTCATTCTTCTTTAATAAAGACACACAAAAAAAAATTTAAATTACAACTAAAATAATTACACATTAACTGAGGAATTGATGAGGCTTCATTTTGGTTGTGTACTTTTTCGTTTTGTAAGAGAACATATTAATGTGACGAGGATAATAGTAGTAATAATAATAATGGTCCAGGAGGTATTTTGGGAGGGTGAGAAGGAGTTTTCATTTAATGCACTCTCATTTGTTGTTGTTTCATACACAATTGTTAATTTTCATTTCTTTCGTTCCTTCGATTAACTAATAAAAAATAAGAATAATTGGCATGTCGATCATCTATTATGTTTTTTAATTTAATCCTACAAACGACTATAGCGTTGCTGATTAGGTTTACGATCCGTAAAGAAATTACGTAGCACCAAGATCTGTACAATACCAATGGTCAGAACGGCCGCTGTTTCAGCACATGACCACCACATAACGCGTTCATTTAATTCTTCGGCACGTTTTCGCCCTTGGGCTTCACGCAGACGATGATGTGTCTGGGCGTCCAAAATGTCATTGAGACTCTTGTGTATCGATTGTGATGAGGTTTCCATTTGGGTGAGGACGGTGGCATGGTCATCGACACCGGGCAGGGCAGGTTCTTCGCCTACTTGAAAATCAACATAGACGAATTTATGTGAAAACGTTGAGAATTTATTGCTAAAGCAGGCCTGATAGACACCAGCAAGATCGGCAACAAATTGATGGCTATCAAATGTGGCCTTTTGCTGTTCGTAAATAATATCACCCTTGGGATTCTTTAGCGTTACATCAACATCCAATTGACCACCGGCTGATACTTGGAACTCCAAATAGGCGGTGGTGTTACGTTTGATTTCCTCGAAGAAGCAGTCCTCTGCCCCATCTGCCAAATCGAATGTAAATTCTACAGCTTGTGACACGCTCAACAAGCCAGCCAGCAAGCTGAGTAAACAAAACTCCGCACAGCTTTTCATAACTGTTGTAGTATTTTTGTCTTTTTTTACTGATGCTTGTCTCGATATTTACAATACAACGAATTGTGTGTTTTTCCTCCCTCAACACAGGCTCACTTTGCCACGCAAGTGTTTCAGAATCTAAAAAAAAAAAACACAAAACATGGAATTAAAGAAAAACCGTTGATGGTGTTGATGATTAGGTCAAATTCTAGAAAACCACAATACTTTTTCCTTTCGTTCGATTCGCTTAGAATTCCATACACGTCTCAAGAAAGCTGTGAGAGCGGTCGTCGTACCGGACTTACTTGATTTGGGGTTTATTTTTTGTTAGCCTAAAGCCTATTCCGTATTGTCTGTTTACCAACTAGTTATCTAAAATAAATGACTAAAATAAAAAAATAGCTTCGCTTTTTTGGATTTGATATCGTTTTTTTAATCTGCTACTGCATAAAATAAAATTCTTTTTGCAATTTTGACAGTTCACAGAAGAAAAATAAAACGCTCTCTTTCTCTCTCAGCTAATCACACTGACGTGTCAACGTAGTACAGTTCGAACAGTTGTATATTTGTGTAGGCGTACTATTTTTCGTGGTTGTTTTTAGTACGGTGTTAATTAATACTCTTTACGCCGATGCGAGGAAATTAAATGAAAGCAATTAATGTAATTATATATATTTGGAAATATAAAAATATATTTGCTTTGGAATATTTTTATAGCACATTGCATCCGTTATTGTTGAAGTATATCACCGCAGCATAGACATAATTACCCTGCGTTTACACTAGACGAATTATCGTAGAATATTGCGTCGGTTATACATTTGGTATGTTTCCCTACTGAAAGAATCTACTATTTTTTACTTCGATAACGAATTTTCCTTTATGGTATCGAAGAAAGTAGTAAAATTTAGTAGATTCTTGCAGTACGGGAACATACCAATTGAGTGATTATCATGGTGCTATAAAACGGTAGAATTATGTTGATCAACATCATACAGCAAGCGAAAGCCAGCTGTATGACCTTAAGTCTAACATCAACAATTTTGTCATCTACCAAAAATTTACCATACCACAGAGCACGATATGCATAAAAATAACAAAAAATACAAGGTGTGTCAACTTGAGGTGAATAACAAAAGTGCAACTATGTATGTGGTGCCTTCTTCTGTCAAATATTTTACAACAAACAGTTATGTTTATTTGAATTTTTCCTCGAAAATCAAATAGGGAATACAACGGAATGTTCGTTTCATTCATAACTTATTCCAGGTGGATGTTTTAAAAATTGTTTTTATTTTAATTTAATTTGAATTTATAAACTTGAAGCCACATTTTCTAACTGAAGTGACAGTAATTTGGCATTTCTGGTTATCAACGGTAAACAAACATTGTAAAGCATAAGTCCATGTTTCTACTTAGCTTCCATTTAAATATCCCGCAGCATCTTAGCCATTTTCATGGTCACAGGATACATTTGAATTGTCTGTAATTTCTGTAATTTCGAAGTGTCTGTCTGTAAAATAATTCTTCACAGGAAATGATAAGCATAAAACAGCATTTGCATTAGAACTTTTAATCTTCTCTATGAGGATTTATTTGACATATATGTAATGGAATTGAATTTGTACAATATAGACGTACTATAAGTCCATGTTTTGACATTATTTTTTTCTCGTCCAAGGCCAGATAACAATGTCCCCCGTTAATATAATCGGTTTCTCATGTTTACTGTCAAAACACCTTATTGTAAACTGACTTCAAACAAAATTTTTGACTTTATACTTAAGACAGAACAGTTGTTTTTCGCTTCCTCGGTGAGGGTAACCCTGACTTTTAACGGCAATATCATGGCCCAAAAATAAACTATAAATCATGCCGTCATGGCGATGAACCCCTTTTTGTATATGTGAGATTGACTAGTGTATGGCAAACTCTTCAATCACTATTCCAAAAAATCGATTTTTATAGTACAATTGTCAATTCCTTTGCATATATGTCAAATAAATCCTCATAAAGTAGGTTAACCCGATAAAAAGTTCTAATGTATATGCCGTTTTATCCCAAAAATTGAATTTTGAGTCGTAAATTAAGTTGGTTTTTTATTCCGTCACAATTTTACTATATTTGTACACAAAATTATTTACTGACAACTTTCAAAATGAATATTATTCACCAGATTGATAGGGTTTAATCTTCAAAATCAAAACTATTTTGATTTTCTTCATGCATTGTGTGTGCGAATTTCAGAAAATATACAACCCTGTATCTACATTTTCTGTCAAAAGTTCAAAATATATGGGAATTTTTTGAAAAATATTTTCGCCACAACAATGAAACCGTTTGACAGAAAATGTAGATACAGGGTTGTATATTTCCTGAAATTCGTCTTTTGGATGACCTGATATTTGGGCCATGTTTTGAACCTTTTCAACGCGCACAACCGAGGTATATTTAATGAGGTAGCCGCATCGGCCCAGCTGTTGGTGCAAGTAAATGCCAAAAATGTTGTTGTAATGTTGAACCCAAAAATTTAAAAACAAAATTTTAAATGAAAATTTCCGAATTTCGAAGAGCTTGTTTGGCAATACTTTTATTAACATTTTCTACAATAATCTTGTCAATACGTTTGTTTTGGCTAAATATTTTTGACATATCATAATACAACAACCGATGTTTGTTGTAGAAATTCTCCTATGCGGCTACCTTGTATACCTACCTTGCGCACAACAAAATTTATACACAGCTTTAATTTTCTTTTAATAATTTTTTAAATTTTCACCACATTTGATAAGTATTTTATTTATTTTAGAATCATTTTTAAAACGAATTAAAATTTTTTTCGAAGCCTTTGTCAAAGCTAACTATGTTTATTTTTTTAATTCAACATATTTTGACAAAATATATAGATATCAGCTGGAGGGTGACCTAATATATAGACCTTGGTTTCGGCCACCTCTGCCTCAATAATCATTTTTTTTTTTTGTACTTCTACGTCGTCAAGTATGTTGGTGGTTAGAACACTTTCGTGCCCATTCACCATGACCGCAATAATCATTTTACAAATAAATATAAAATTAGTCATTGATTAATTCCTTCTAGAACATATTACAACGCCGTTATTTCATTTTTAAACTCCCAAGTCTATTGACACATTTGCAAATTTCTCTGCCGCCGATCAATTTATATCCACTCGACTTTAAACTCTCCGCTATAAACTGTCAATGGAAACATATGGTCAAACAAGATTTTAGCAAAACAACAAATACAAAAACAACGAATAGCAAACAAAAAGAAACAACAAAAAACGTGCATTCAATGCTTGTGTCGGTCGGTCGGTTCGGAACGGAGAGAGAACGAGTAAAAATTGCATGTTTGTGTGATAGGCTGTGAATTTGGAAAAAAGGCAATCTAGCAAATTATTAGAAAATTTAGAAGAAATTTAAAAAAAACTGTCAAATTTTATTGCCAAATCGAATAAAAGATACAAAGCACGTGCGTTTATGTTTTACCGGTAGCAGCAGCGGGCAACAAAGAACAGAAAGGAAAGCAACAACAACTAGGAAATTCAAGTGCATTCTAAGTGGATAGTGCAATTTTTTGTTTCTTTTCTATTGGGTAGTTCCCCCAGTGTAAAACAGAGGGGTTGTCGCGTGGTTTTCCTTCGGTCGTGTGAAATTCATTCAGTTTTATTTTTTGAAAATAAAATATATTGCATTTAATTGGAAAAAATATGTTCGATTCATCGCGTGTCATGCGTTATTGCCTTTATGGGGCAAGTGCAATTGTCATATCTGAAATAGCCTATCATTCCTATTTCTGGCTGAAAAATCAAATTAGCAAATATGCCACTTCGAAAGAAATCATGGAAGTTATATGGACCAATGAGTTGACACAATCGTGTGTTAGTAAACATCGTCGTTTCACCACAGCATCGAGCTCTGGTACGGTTTCCACATCGTCGGGATCACCAACAATGACCGAGTTAAATCGTATCGTAAAATTACCATCACCAAAAAAATCCCAATTGTCGGAATGTTCGAATCCTTTTTGTGCCGCCTACAATGTCGGTCGTCTATTGGAATTTATCGATTCCGCGAAATATTCCCTGGATTTGGCCATGTACACATTTACATCGTACGATTTGGCACAGGCCTTCAGTCGCGCTCTTAAACGTGGTGTTCTCATTCGCATAATATCGGATCATGAAATGGCCTATTCGAGTGGTTCACAAATTATTCCGCTGACCAAAGCAGGTGAGTTAGATTCTAATAAGACCAATTAGAATATACAAATATGAGGATGAAGGTAATAGGTTTTTATTTCAGAATATAAATAATTTGTTAAGAATATTACACATATTGAAGATATTATTTTAACCCCTAATATGCATTATTTCGGCCTAAAGGTTACCACACAACAAATGGAAATATTCTTGGAAGTAAATTTAAACTGATTTTTTGGGGTTTTATTAATTTCGTAATAAATTGCAATTTCATAATAAATTGCAATCTTTCTAGATGCTTTTCGAGTTTGTATCAATAGACGATGTGCGGCAAAAATATGCTATCAGTAATGGAATTTAGAAAAGGTGGTTGAACTACAGTCATCGACATTTTTTTTTTTAATTGCCAAGGGAACGGCGATATCGGCCATTATAAGCTATCTATCACTATAGCTATCGCTATCCACGAGAGAGGGGTCTACGGCCCGAGTCTTTCTCGGCCAACGTCTGTCAACTCAGCCCATCGTGTAAAAGCAATAGAGCTGCTACAACAACAACAACTATAAGCTATATCAAATAAAGAGACAAACTTTTGCTAGGCTTAGGAGGACTACGGCCACCTTAGGGAATTTTTTTATTTTTACAAATTTGTTTCATAAAAAAAAGAAATGAATGTAAACTAAACCCCAACAACTCAAGCAAATAAAAACCAAATGAGCTTTTTATTTAAACTTTGTACGCCCATACTTCCGGAAGTATGCCTTTCAAAGAACTCCGAGTGTTAATCTTAAATAGATTTAATAAAATGTGGAGGTATTTGTGAAATTTAAAAAAAAAACACACATCTAAGGAAATAATGATTACTTCTCACCCCTACAAATTTTTTGAAAGGTGATCATAATATAAATATCTTACCTTTAAGATAACGTTGCAATATGTCACGAGTTCATATTTAAAGTGACCAAAAATAGGAGTTGTAGTAGTTGGATGACATTTCCTACAAAGCATGTGACAAAAGGCTTTATAGATCGAATCAGGATTTGATATACGTCCCATACAATGGGGAAATGTCAATATTTTTCGCATATGAAATCGTTAATATTCAACCAAATTCTATGAAAAATGGCATTTTACATTTACTTAGGTCTGTAATATAAGTGGCTAAAAACTAGGGGGTTCGGATCAAAATTTGCCATACTTCCTATATAATGGATCAGGAAAATGTGATGCCTTTGGCATATCAAATCATTAACATACAATTCAATTCTTTTAAAATGTCAGCTTTCTTCTAATTGGGCCTATAAAGCAAGTGATAAAATTCGGTATACTTCCCATACAATCTTGAAAAAATAAAACACTTTTTTGGACTATAAAATCGTTCATAATCAGACAAATAGTTTTCCCACAGTGGCATCTAACCTATTTTCCCTTTATATGGAATTTAAGTCAGGCCACTGTGGATCTAAAAAATAGCACCGAGCTTCGGAAAAAATTTGGCCTAGAAACATTTTCATCGATGCCATTTTCGAAAATGCATACCATAATGTGAAAGACACCGCCGTTTTCCCACAGTGGACCCAAATCCTCTTCCCACTAGCATTCAAATTTATATTTAACTCGTTGAAAAATACAGTGTTAGAAAACGTAAAAATACATATTGTGAGATAAGTTTAAATTTATTTTCACGGAAATCCATCCAATCATAAAATTATTATTTTTTTATAAAAATCCACGCCTCTTAAAATTATTGTTTTTTTTATAAAAATCCACGCAATTTTAAACTATTATTATTTATAATGTTTTTTTTTTTAAATCCACGCTTCTAAAAATTACTGTTTTTTGTTAAAATTTGTACCAAATTTATTTTTATAAAAAAAAAAAAAAAACTAATTTTTTTGTAAAAATAATTTTTATAATATTGAATTTTTTTATAAAAAATATTTCTATTTTATAAAATTAAATTTAATTTTTTTATAAAAATTATTTCTATTTTATTAAAATGATTTTTTTTTTAAAATATTTTTATTTTATAAAATTAATTTTTTATAAAAATCCATTCCTCTTTGATTTAAAAATCCACGCCTCCTTAAAGTACTGTTTTTTATAAAAACGTAAAAATACATATTGTGAGATAAATTTAAATTTTTTTCACGGAAATCCATCCAATCATAAAATTATTATTATTTTTATAAAAATTTACGCCTCCTAAAATTACTGTTTTTTTTATAAAAACGTGAGATAAATATTGTGAGATAAATTTAAATTTATTTTTACGGAAATCCATCCAATCATAAAATTATTATTTTTTTTATAAAAATCCACGCCTCTTAAAATATATAAAAATTTTTTTAAAAACAAATTATTTTTATAGGCAATTTAAAAAAAATAATTTTTTGTATTTTTTATAAAATTGAATTTTTTTAAAAAATTATTTCATAAAAATTAATTTTTTTATAAAAATGTAAATTTTTTTTTTTTATAAATCCACTCTTCTTAAAATTACTGTAAAAATTATTACTTAAAAACAAATTATTTTTATAAGAATTCAAGCCTTTAAAAAAAATAATTTTTTTGTAAAAATAATTTTTATAAAATTTAATTTTTTTATAAAAATTATTTTTAAATTTTATTTTTAAAATTAATTTTTTTTATAAAAAAATGTTTTTTTTTAAATTAATTTTTTTTATTTTGTTTTTTTTTGTTATTTTGTTTTTATAAAAAATCACTTCTAAAATTTTATATAAAAATTCAGGTCTCATATTTTTCATAAAAATAGACGCTTCATATTTTTTTTATAATAATCTACGCCTTAAATTCGATTTATAAAAATCCAAAAATTTGTAAAAAAAATCTACACTTTAGACATTTTTAATAAAAATTCACGCCTCATAAAGTATTTTTTAAAGACATATAATTTTTTGTTTTTATAAAAATCCACTCCTCACATTTTTTTTATAAAAATCTACACCTCATATTTTTTTTATAAAACTCCACGCTTATAATTTTTTATGAAACCCCACGCCTTATATATTTTTGTAAAAATACGCACATCATATTTTTTTTTTTTTTTTGTAAAAATTCATATTTTTTATAAAATTCCACGCGATTTGTAAAAATCCGCATAAAAATCAACGCTTCATAAAAATCTGTGCCTAATAGAATTAATTATTATATTTAATTTTTTTTTTTTATTTTTATAAACAGTCATGTCTTAAAAAATCAAAGTTTATAACAATATATTTTTTTTGTAAAAATCCACGCCTGCTAAAATTGTTATTAGTAAAAATCAAAGTTTTTTTTATAAAAATCCTAGCCAATTTTCATGGTACAATTATAAAAGGTAACAGTAAATCTCAGCTGATTTGATTCCAACGTAATACTAGTGTCAATATGAATTTGACAAATTATGTTTCTAAAAATTACCCAACAGAAAAATTCGGAACGCACACAATTTGAAATTGTTCTTTATTAAATGTGCTCCCGTATTCAATTTACTCAATCCGCCTGTTGGGAACGTTTGAGGAAGCAAATCTTTCTTCATCTTTCGCAATTCCCAGCATTTTCATATAGGAAAGATGTGGAATCGATAGAAATATAACTTTGATAGATTTTCATTCATGTTTTTCAAGTTTTATTTTGAGAATTCGAAAATATTTAATTTTCAAAATAAATATAAATTTTTTGTTTGTTTACATTTTTCTGTCAAATGACGTTGACACTAGTATAACTTACAACAACAAATTTCCATGTGGTTTTTGTATCGTTTGTTGTACAACAACACTTGCTGTTACCTTCTATTATTATACCAAGGCCAATTTTTTACAAAAATCCACACTTAATTTTTTTTTTATATAAAATTCAGGCATATTTTTTTCCAATGCGACCATAGATTAAATAAAAAATAGAAAAAGAAAACATTATGAGGACTATAGATTTTTGTTCTAAAATAGTTTATTTGAATAATTGAGCCTAAAGACATTGTCTAAAAAAATTTAGAATTTCCACTTGAAAGAATTTCAGTAACTTGGGGAAGTACAAATTTATAAAATCTATACAGTCATTTGATTAAAAAAAAAAACTTAAAATCATTTCCCTTTGTAAATTCAAATGCAAAAAAGAAATCAAGCAAAGAAGTATCAAAAACCTGCACATGCACGCACCACTACAATGACAATTTCACACAAATCTTTCATTCATCGTCATCAGCAAATTTGTTTTCTATTCATAGACGAAGCAGCAATGATTGTGCTGTGAACTGTTTTATTCTGAATTTACTTGGCAGAGGGGGTAATAGTTGTGGGTGATGATGTCATAGCCCTTCCCCCATACGTTGCCTTTGAGGAGATTTGGGGATGTTCGGCTCCTCCTTTTAGAGTTGTTGTTTTTGTTTAAACGCAGCAGCAGCAGTGGCAGCACTACAACACCACCTATTTTGTGCAAAACAATGATCGCAAAAAAAAACAAAGAACAAAAAAAAAAACACCAACAAATATAAATCAACCTACGAACCATTAAGCACCCGACGACAATGAACGAATTCTTTGACGATCGATCGCTGCGATGATGATGATGCGTTGTTGCATTATGACGATTCTAGGCGAACAAAAAAACGATTGCATTAGTTGTCTAAAGAGAGGGATGGGGAGAGGGAGGTGGGGTGTGGAGTACGTATGGTACGGGAGACTAGTGACACATTAGATTGAATTGTGCAATTGTTATTGAGTTTGTTGTTGTTATTTCTCTGCCTACCTATATTTTGTTGTTGTTGCTACTAAAATGTGCTGTACTGCAGCAAATGTTAAATATCATTTGGAAGTTGTTGCTATGTTTTTTTATTTCTTCTTCTTCTACATTTGAATTTTTTTCTGCTGTTCTTAATAATGCGAAATTGTTTTCAGTTTTGCGAATATTTTCGTACTTTTTTTGTGTAAACAAATCAACTCTAATATGTGCTGAGGGAAAAACAAACAAACAAACCGACAAACAAATCAGTAGACCCCAACCAGCAATGATAGTGAGTTGGAAAAGATA